ATTCCTGTCTCACATTGAGGTCTTTTATCCATTTTGAGTTTATCTTTGTGTACAGTGTAAGAGAATGGTCGAGTTTCATTCTTCTACATATAGCTGTCCAGTTTTCCCAGCACCATTTATTGAATAATTGCTACTTTTGAAACACAATATTTAAGTTACCATCAATAAGAACTGTGAAATTGGTACTAAAGAGTTATTTATAGGAGAGGAGTTTCAATAGCAAATGTAGAGTTCCTCAATACCTGAATTTCAAAATAAAACATTACTAACTGCATTCAAGAATCCATTAAACACTAGTCATCCAACAAAGTGTTCTAACCCTTTTTGGGTTATTGCCATCATAATAGTTATGTAATTTGGTTCTAATGTCTAAAATATTAGCTTCTGGAGTAACTGGGTGATAGACATTAAAGAAGGCATGTGACGTGATGAGAACTGGGTGTTGCATGCAATGGATGAATCACTGAACACCACACACCTGAAATAAATAATATCGTACATGATAGCTAACTGAATTTAAATTTAAAAAAAATAATAAAACATTAGATTCCATGTACAGACAAACAATAGGACACAGCCCATCCTTGAAGGTATATGTCAAAGAACAGGGGGCTGCCCCAGTCCCAGGTTTGAGTGCACGCAGCAGGTGCCTGGGAAGCAATGTGTGCTTGCTGCGCAGAAGTACACAGCTGAGTCTTCAGGCTGGGTGTCTCTGATGTGCAGGGAGAGATGTTTGGCTGTCCTATTCAATGAAACAGTGAGTCTTTGGTCTTCTTTTGTGGCCATGCTTGAACGAATGTCTATAAGGAGCAGGGGACCTTTTCCAAGTTCTTGCTTATACCAAGGGAAGTAGTCTGAAAGACTATCTGAATAACTGCAGTTGATAACAGAGCTACTTCCCTCCTGGACACTCAGGGTAGAAGGATGCTGCTTCACATTCTCTCCCTGGCTGAGCCCCGTGCAGAAAGAAAATGTCAGAGAAAGGAGAAGAGATTCCAGGTTATTGTGCTTCAGAATTCTCTTTTTTTTCTACACAATGGGAGGAACTATGAATAAAGCCAGTCTTGACCTCTGAAGAATATCCATTAATATACTCTGCTGCCCATAAACACTCAACTCACAGTTCAGCTGCAGCCACAAGAACATCATTAAAGCTCCCATGGATGGCTTCATGGTTCCTGCCAGTTAAGCTCAGGTTCAGAATTGCAGCCTCCAGCCAGCTCAGCTACTTTTCTTATCAGGGCATGCCTTCTTTCCTGTAACAGAGTAACTTCCCACATTGTCTACCAGCCAATAAGAAAAAGACTCTGCTGCTGCCATGGTATAGTCCATCATATACACAAAAATGAACCCTCCAAATGTTCTGCATCAGCACAGGTGCACTGCCGTCTTGTGGTCACATCTCTACTGAACTCGCTGGGGAAATGCTCTTCTCTTTGCCTGTGCCTCTGAGGGACTCACATGCATCAAGCAAATTATATCTTAGATCAGTGATTAAGGGCACAGTAAGAATGTGGAGATCAAGGTTTACATGCCTGCACACTACTGAGTCACTGTTAGTAAGGTGGGAAGAGGTAGATGCTATTGCTATTTATTCAGTGATGGCCCTGGTGTACATGTTTGAAGTCAGGAAGGAATCATGATTTACTTCCTTTCTGTTCTACCAAATCCACTGTCCTCAATTGTCTATTATGGAGAAAAACCTTTTGTAAAAGGAAAATATAACCAATGATTACAGTAAGAGAGAAGATCATTTGATATTTCAAATGCCTCTGATCTCAGGCTCTGCTCCTCGTGGATGGTCTTGCCTGACCTTGTTTTTTCCAAAGGATTGACAGTACCAACAGTCACTATGGGGACTATCCCTTCAGTTAAGATGTCTATGACAAAAAGTAAAGGACCAAATCTAAGTGATAAGGGAGCAGGGATAACTTCGATCAGTTATTACTATTTCAACTATGGGAAACTTTTTACCTAATATTGCACTAATATTTATATAGAGAAAATCTGACAGTAGATTTAGTAGAATCTCAATAGAAATTCTGAGGAAACATCAAGCTGCAAACTCATAAAATATAACCATATGTAAGTTTATCCTTGAGGTGATTTCCTTTTCTCAAATCAAAATACACGGTATGTCCTCCAATGCAATTACTGACTCACAGCCTAAGGAGAATTTCCACTAAAGTATTAGCCATCCATCCTGTCATGCTTCCCACTTCCTGGCCAACACTGCTTCACATTCCATACTCCATTATATTTCTCCTAAACTCCACTACAGTGTTCTTTCCCCAAGACTCATTAATAAAGTTCTCTAGTCCTGTGAGTTTCTAGAATTATCTCTTTCTTCCAAAACCCCTTTCTCATTCCTATGAGTTTCTTGGAATCTTCTGATGACTTCTGTGAGAAAAAATTCAGGAAACCATAAATATTGTGTGTGCTAGGGTATGGTACCAACAGAAAACTGGTCCTAAAGAACTGATCAAGAGAAATGGTCTCTGGGAAACCAAGACTACCTCATTTCCAAAAATGGAAGCCCCTTTCCTGTGAATCCTACTCATGGAGCCTCTGAAATGACAAAGAATACAGTTCATCTTCCTTCTACCTGTTCTACCTTGAAAGATTTAAAGACAGCTATCAGAACATCAACTTAATATATTAATATATGTGTGTTATGAAACGTGTTTTAATGTATGGAAAACTTCTTGGTTCTGAGAATCTTCCATTCTTACACCCATTCTCCATAAAGTAAGAATTCTCACACTTCTCTGGGTAAATTTCCCTCTTCTTCAACATAGATTGTTTAGGTCAATATTTGCACTTTTTCGATTCACAGACCTGTACCCCTGGGGAAAAAATATATTATATATTTATAAAAAACAAAATTAAAAAAAATATATTTGCACTTTTTAGGCATGACACTCAGAGCTGAATTTAATGGTCTGAATATGACTTTTTTTTATAATAACACTTTTCCATTTATTAACTATTGCACAGATAAGGCCATCCCTTGTGCTAAATTTCCAGATCCTTGATTATTTCCTAGACACCTGTTTTAGCATGATCCTCGTGTTGGCCTAGAAAACCTTCATCTACCATCTTCATGGACTGCCAGCTACATAAGTCTTCCAATTCCTGTGATCTTTTTTACAGACAATGTGTGAGTTATGCACATTGTGCTCATCATGCCTTCAAGGGATGCCCACCTGGGATATTAAATATATTTGTTTTTTTTTTTTAAAGGAAAGTTCTTAGAAATACATGTAGGTGTTCACATGGTGCCATCACCTTTGGCTTACTCTTATAAAAACAGTGAGTGATGCATGAGTTTGCTGGTAAAATCACGGTGGCTCAGCCTGAGTCTCCCTTCCTGTCCAAGATCTCAGACATTTACACAAATTGGAACTCTCCTTTCAGGGTTTCAAACTGATTGGACCACAAATTTCTCAGACCCAAACCACAGAGATAAATGCCGGGGATTGCATTAGACACTTTCTCTTTACTCAGCACGATGTTCCTACAGGAAAGAGGCAGGGGAATGAATGCTAAAGAGGAAATTAGGAAACCCAGTGTCTTTCTCCTCCAGCTCATTCACTACCTAATTTTTTCATACAGTCATCTTGGAAACAGTCAAGATGTGTAAAATGAAGTTGGACTCAAGAAATTCTAAGGACCCTTTTAGCTCTTAATTTCTTCTACACTATATAACGAAGCAAATGTTTATTGGTGACTGGTTGTGTGCAATGTGGACTGGTGTCATATTGGGTGAAATTACCTGCATCATGCAACCCCAGGACCATTTTCACAACCACATGTGATCTCGTGGGTCAGAGGTTGATCCTAACCCACCCTGAGGGTGGGTTATTGTTTCTTACCTGAGATCACTATCTGGGTTTTCATTTCTTCTCTGAGATCACTAATGTATCAAGGAGAAATAAATCCAAATTAACATTGAATAAAATGGGAATTTATTCACTGAGTGGAGTCCTTTACAGGCACTGAGATGAGGGTGCACTATGACTGAACCATGGGTAAGCAGGAAGTTCTTTTGGAGTTTCAATTTCTTATAAATATCTTTTACATATTACTTATGTACTGTATGAAAAAAGAAAGAATCTCTGCAGTTGAGACAACCTAGGGGAGGTGGATGAGCTGACTAATATAGAAAGTGAGATGCACTTTTTAAAACAGCCTAATTGCTTTATGGATTCTGGCTTTCTCTTTGAATCCTTAGTTCAGAGTTTCAAAATTTCCAACGAGGGATGCCTCTACAATTTTTGAGATCATCTCAAAATGAAAACTTGGGAACATAATTCAAACACCAGGTTAAAATATATCATTAAGTAATGTTTCTATGGGAATAATTTATCTAAAATGCTTTAACTCTTCATACATATTAGTTTCATGTCTCTCAATTTCATTTTTTAAAAATTTTCTTCTTTTCAACCATCACAACCAGGTTCAAAGAAAAAGGAGACATCGTGCTGAGGTATCCTGTATACCTTCTGACCCCACACAGGTATCACCTTCCCATTATCACCTTCCCCATGACCTTTCCACAGTGGAAGACCCTATGCTGCCACATCATGTGACCCAAAGCCCATAGTTTATCTGGAGTTCCTTCTTACTGTTGTAGTTTCTATGGGTTTGAACAAATGTGTAAAATATGTATCCACCATTGCAGTATCATGGAGAGTAAGTCATTACATTAAACATACTCTGAGCTATACTGATACCTCTTATTCCCCTCAACCCTTGGCAACAACAATCTTTAACTGCCTCCAGAGTTTTCCATTTAAGTAATTTATATATAATTTATATGCTAGCTGCCAGGACCTCTGTCTTCCCAAGGTAATGGATATGGGCATCTTTGTCACTTGCTCCAAAGGTTCCATGGTAGAGCTTTTTACCAGCAAAGAGCTTTTTGGAAGAAAAAGAGCAAGAAAAGCAAGTGAAATGAGAACACTGCTAGGTCTAATTTTAGGAGGGAAAAGACACTATTACATAAATCTGAAAATGTGCAAAGTCTGCATGGGAGCAAATGCCTGCTGCATGGGAGCAAAGTGGGTGGAGGGGCTGCAGGCACAGCTGCAGTTTGGGTGCAGGCTGCAGATCACCAGGGAGCACTGTGCCTCCACCGCACACAGGTAGGTGGCTGAGTCTTCCAGTCGGGACGCCGTAATGTGGAGGGTGCTGGACTGTTCCTTAGTATTCACTGTGCAGTTTAACCTTCCACTCTGCTTCATCCCTGAAACTATGTAAAACAGTCCGGTGAGGTTGCTGCCCCCAGGATGCTGTCGAAACCACTGCACACTGTATGGACTGCTAGAAAAATTGCACTTCAGAATAGAGCTGGCTCCCTCCTGGAGGCTCAGGGCTGAAGGGGTCTGCTCCACCGTCATCCCTCTCACCCCTGTGTGGAAAGAAGAAAACAAACACAGATTATATCACTGGAGAGTCACAGATGCAGTTTGAAAATGTATAAAATATCCTAACACACGCCCCTGAGAATATAGGACTCTAGGAGCTCAGCGTCAGCTCCTCCCATCACTGTGGGTTGTGGACCACTCCCCAGGCTCCATCTGGAACGTCCCCACTCACAGCAAACCTGGAGCCACAGGAGCCCCAGCAGAACTCCCCAGGGTGTCCTCATGGTTCCTTGTCTAGTTAATAAGGTGCCTTCACCCCTACTGTGTAGAGTGTAGTCTTGGGTCCAGAGGATTTGTGTTCTTACAGTCAATCCTTCCCACCAGAATCACTGAGCACCAATCGCACCTCAGCCCTGTCATTCACAGAACTTGAGACTCCACCCACAGTGGCCCTATATCACTGCACAGGAATCTCTCCCAAACTGTGCTTGCGGGCAGTGCAGGCAGGTAGGAGGAATATTTCCAATATAGGAGTATGTAAGGTTTTTTTTTTTTTTTCTTAAAACACTTTATGTAAGAAAAGTGCAGGTTAGTGTGTGAAGAAAGGTGAATAATTCTTCTATAAGAGTCAGAGCCTATGGGGATTACCCAGAACATTGAAGAATCATAGGGAAGAATGACTCCATTCCCCAAACTGCATAGTTTGACAGACAATGTGAGCATTCAGTTATGTAAAAATGCTGATAAAGGAAAACTATCTGATAGCATCCACTCAGTACTGCAGAAGTAAATACAATTTATCAAAAGAGTTCTAGAAACCAAGACAGACGGTCACCGTCTGTAAAGAAAATGATTCCTACCAGAATGTGGTCAGTGAAAAATAGGATGTAGTGCTTAGAGTCCTCTCTGATATAATTTCCACCTCTCCAACTCTCCTGTACTACTGCTAGACACCATGCTCACCCACAGAGCTCAGTCTGACCAGCCACACGTTGCAGGCCAAAGTCAATATTGTCCTCTTCCTTTCCTTTTCTTTTTGTTCCTTATTGTTTCCTCTCTTCATTTTTGTTTCCTTCCACTCTCAGCACATGAAAAGGTAGGATATGTGGGTATTGAAATAGTTTCAAGGCCAGTAAATTTGGGTGATTTTATTCATAACAATTGACAGCATATAATGGGATATTTTCTGTTGAGTTTCCATACTCATAAAGCCCAGAAATATTCCTATCCTGGTACCTGTGAAGAATTATCTGCATAATGGATTTCTAGAGACATAGCCTCCAGATGTCTGAAGTTGATATGCAATGGCAGAACTGAAAACCTGAGAGGGTCTTTACAAAAAACCCTGTCCTCTCTCTTCCCTATCTTTGCTATCTTTAAGTGGATTGGCTCACATGATTTCTGTTCTGTGTATCTATTCAACCTTCCACCCATCATGAAGTCTGGTTTCTCTTAAGGTCTAGAGTGCCCCCTAGAGGAATGAATCTGGTGGCAAAGACCTCTTAGAACAAGCCACTCAGCAGACTCAAATCCCCAGCCCCTTTCATTCCAATCTATCTGGTGAAGGAAATGCAGATTGTCAGAAAAGAAGATAACTGCTTAGTTTGAATGGGTATTACAGGTAAACCAAATCCTACTTTTAAAATGAAATTGCCTGGAAATTGAGATCAGAAAATAAATTTCATATATTTCACTTTGTGTTATTTTATTTCTTTACCTGAGTTCAAAAGAAATCCATAAGTATTCATTGAGCTTTTTCAAAGGGGTAATTTCCTAGATGCTCAGAATATATAAAGTGTAGTAGAATATTCTTCAGCCATCAAAAGATGAAACTCTGCCATTTGCAATGACATGGATGGAGCTAGAGAATATAACTCTGAGGGAAATAAGTCAGTCAGAGAAAGACAACTACCATATGATGTCACTCTAGTGGAATTTAAGAAACAAACCACACAAGCAAGGGGGAAAAATAGGACAAAAATAAATCAATTGGACAACTCAATTAAACAGAACTAACTAATGGTTACCAGAAGGATAGGGTTGGGAGATGGGTTCAATAGGTGAGGGGATGAAGGAGTGTCCTTTTCCTGATAAGCACGGGTGATCTGTGGAAGTTTTGCATCATTATATATACACTTGAAACTAATATAACGTTGTATGTTAACTAACTGGAAATAAAATTAAAACGAACATATGTAAATAAAATATACAAAAGAGGAACACATACAAGTTTACCATCTACAGGGGAAGACAAAAATGTATATAATTATAATAGAGTCAAAGAATAGGACACTAAGTGAAGTGAAAACTAAAAACTATGTGACCCCAGAGAAATACGTATAGTCTAGGCCGATGGACATAATGTTATGAAAAAGGTGGTGATCTCTCCCTTCCCCTTTTTGGTGACAAGAAGGGAGGAAAATACAGAGAAGCCTTTATGATGGCCTTTATGATTCTCATTACTTTTAACAATAGGAGAAATTTGTGAATATGTGAATTATTAAAAGTAATAAAACATTACCCATAGAGTAAAATCCTTTTTGACTACCATTCTCAATTCTGACCCTTTCATCACTTGTTACCTTATTTCTTTGTTCATCTTGGCAATTTGGCGTTGATGCTTCCAGATGTTTTACTAGATTTGAATCAACAGAAAATATACAGCATTTTATTTAGACTTTATTATAATATAAATATATATTTGGGGTATACCTTTCTTGTTTATAACCTCAATAGTAAATCTTGTAGGTCTTATTACATTAACCCATATACATCCTTTGTTCCATTATATTCCATATTGTGGATATACTTCCATTTATGCATCCTTTCCTCTATTGATTAAAGGCTAAGATGACTTATTTAACCTAGGAAATACTACACTACAATAAACCTTATAAACATTCCTCACATGAACACATGTTTTTCTAGGAACAGAGACTAGGAGGAAATGAAGGAATAAGCCCTGAGGCTGGCAGGTGAAAATTACTCCAGGTGGAGGAAAGTCAGGGACAAAGGGCTTGAAGAAGAATGAAGAGAATTCATGTTCTCATTATTGTGTTGGAAGATTTTCATTTTCTATGTTTTCTTTAATGTGCTTTAAAACTGGAGCTTATCAGCTCATTTGATAAACTCTTTCTGAAATTATGTCCTGATATAGAGATAGTGTATAGTTTGCTTCAATCAGCCACTATTTTCCTAATATACTAAATCAGCAAGAGAAAAAGCACACCCAAGGAGAAGCCATGGTATATACAAGGAAAAATATTACAGAATAAAATTAGACATAGAAAAAATGTACACACTTGCACATGTACATACACATACAGTTTGAGGATATTTTCAGTGAAACAGAAAGGTACTTTACTTTACCCAAATCAGCAGAAAAAAAAAAAAAGAGAAAATTCTATCAGTGCAACATAAAAGGAAAGAAAAGAAAGAAGCAAAAGCATATGGAGCAAAACCAAAATATTAGAAATAAGTTCAAATATATCAATAATCAAAACATAGATAAAAAGGAATGATTGAATTGAATCAAAACTTAAACTTATTGTTCCATAGACACAATGGAATATTACACAACCATCAAAAAATTTGAAATCTTGCCATTTGCAATGACATGGTTGGAACTAGAAGGTATTATGCTAAATGAAATAACTCAATCAGAGAAAGACAATTGTCTTATGATCTCACTGATATGAGGAATATAAGAAACAAGGCAAAGAATCATCAGGGAAGAGAGGAAAAGATAAAACAAGATGAAGCCAGAGAGGGAGACAAACCATAAGAGACTCATAATCATAGACAACAAACTGAGGGTTGCTGGAGGGGAGTGGGGTGGAGAGATGGGTTAACAGGGTGATGGGCATCAAAGAGGCCACATGATCTAATGAGCGCTGGGTGTTATATAAGACTGATGAATCCCTGACCTGTACCTCTGAAACTAATAATACATTATATGTTAGTTAATTGAATTTAAATAGTTTAAAAATCAAATATAATAAAATAAAATGTTGGTACTAGCCACAAATTTAAGGTGGCAGATAAAAAGCAAATACTTTAAATGTGTAATTTTCTAGTTCCTTTTTAATGATGACTATCTCAATATATTTGCCTCTACATTTACAATAAATTCCCTGTTACCATCCGTACTTTAAAGATCAAAAAAAATTGAATGCTATTTTCAAAAACACAAAATGAAGCTGTGGTCGAGGATGTGAAGAGATTGGAACACTTGTTCACTGTTGGAGGCAATGCACAATGCTGTAACCATAGAAAACAGTATAGAAGTTCTTCAAAAAGTATAAAATAGAACTACCATATGATCCAGTAATCCCACTTCTGAGTATTTATCAAAAAGAATTGAAATCAACACACAAATGTTTATAGCACCTTTATTCATAATTGCCAAAACATGAAAGCAACCAAGACATCCTTCAGTAGAAGAAAGAGTAAGTAAACTACGGTACAGCCAGACAAGGGAATCTTATTCAGTGCTGAAAAGAAGTGAGCTATCGAGTCATGGAAAGACATGGAGGAAAAGTATGTGCATATTTTCCTCTTTTTTTTTTAAGATTTTATTTCTTTATTTGACAGAGAGAGCAAGTACAAGCAGGGGGAGCAACAGGCAGTGGGAAGGGAGAAGCAGGCTCCCTGCTGAGCAGAGAACCCGACCCGGGACTTGATCTCAGGACTCTGGGATCATGAGCTGAGCTAAAGGCAGATGGCTAATCCACTGAGCTACCCAGGGGCCCTACATGCATACTTCAAAGAGAAATAAGCTAATCTGAAAAGGTTGCACTCTGTTTGACACCCAAAACACGACATTCTGGAAGAAGAAAACTATGGAGACCGTAAAAAGACCAGTGGTTGCTGGGAATTAGAGGCAGGAACAGAAGAACATCTTTAAGTAAAGGAAAGTTGAACTGGTGAGCAAAAATCAAAAAGTTCTGTAATGCACAATATTTGGGGAAAATGTTTTATGTCCTCTTCTCAATTCCTCAAAAACCAAAATCCCATTTTCTGCTGGGTTTAGAAGATGATCGTTGTTTCTTATAGGGTCGTGGATGCACAGCTGTTCTGTGACTAGGAAAATTGCTCGCTGGGTCCACATATTTTACTTCCCTCCACCTCAATACCTTCAATATATGCAAACACATCCACGCAACCACCCATGCACCAACGTGGGCAACAACATCTTCCTCAATTACCCAAAAGCATGTGGTGCTTCTTTTCCCTGACCCTTTCCAGAGGGCACAGCATGCACTGAGGTGCTTTCACAGTAGGC